GAGAGAGGAGTTCTCTATGCTCCAGTTACTTGGTTACTTTAAGAGTTGGAGCCAAAAGAATGTTTGGCTAATTCTGGTGGGGTTCTTTCATGTTGGAACATAGTATATATACTGTGGACAGAATTGATGTGACAGCATTTACACACTAACTTCTCATCTGCTCTGCATGTGCTCCTGAAATGGGAGGGTTTTAATCTTTCCATTAAAGGTGTGTGTGTGCGTGCATATATGTACATGCTTGCACATACGTGGTGTTGATGTCGCTCCCTTTCCCTGCCCAAGGAAAAATGCAGACAGAAAGATGTTGTTTTGTAGCATCCAGTTAACTGATTTATTGAAGTATATGGTCACTGTCTCTCACCACTTTGCTCCTGAGTTCTCAAGGACCTTTTCTTTTCCTTTCTTTTCAAGCCCTGGGGACGTAAAATGAAACCTAAAAGTGACAGAGTAATAGTGTATTGTAAAAACCTTCAAGCCCTTTTACATTTTTGCTCATCTCCCAAAGCTGAACAATGATTAGAGGCTGTGATTTCCTAATCCCCATCAGTCTGGGAAACAGCTGTGCTGAACCTAGGCCCAGAGCATTTGTCCATGGTGCCACCAGGGCCTGGGGATCTGTGGCCCTGCCTGTCCCCTACCCAGATCAGGAGGGGGGGTGCCTGAAGGCAAGACATGCTAAGGCAGATTCCAGGGGACAGACTTACAGCCTCCGGCCCTGGCTCTCACCTTTCCAAATATTTTTAGCCTCTGGTTGAAGCACAGTGGCAGCCTAGGCCTGTAATACTGTCCACACATGTCTGACTTCACATCTAGAAGCATAGTGCATTCCCACGTTTTCTGGCCTCCTCACCCTTGCAGAGTCTGCACACAACAGGCAGGCTGAGGGAGAGAAGTTCTCTTGGGAGTTTTCAGAGTGGTTAAAACTTACAGGCCTAGAGGCCTTTCCTCCTCATGTTCAGCATAGCGTTGCTCTTGCTCTGGTCTATACCAGGAAGCTGGCCAATTTCCCTGTCTCTGAGCCTATTTATGCTTCCAGTTTTCCTAGTTTTAAATGTGCAGAAACTACTCTTTGGAAATCAGCATTTTTGTGCCTGTCCTTTTTTTTTTTTTTTAAAGATGACCAGTAAGGGGATCTTAACCCTTGACTTGGTGTTGTCAGCACCACGCTCAGCCAGTGAGCGAACCGGCCATCCCTATGTGGGATCCGAACCCGGGGCCTTGGTGTTATCAGCACCACACTCTCCCGAGTATTCCCACGTTTTCTGGCCTCCTCACCCTTGCAGAGTCTGCACACAACAGGCAGGCTGAGGGAGAGAAGTTCTCTTGGGAGTTTTCAGAGTGGTTAAAACTTACAGGCCTAGAGGCCTTTCCTCCTCATGTTCAGCATAGCGTTGCTCTTGCTCTGGTCTATACCAGGAAGCTGGCCAATTTCCCTGTCTCTGAGCCTATTTATGCTTCCAGTTTTCCTAGTTTTAAATGTGCAGAAACTACTCTTTGGAAATCAGCATTTTTGTACCTGTCCTTTTTTTTTTTTTTTTTTAAAGATGACCAGTAAGGGGATCTTAACCCTTGACTTGGTGTTGTCAGCACCACGCTCAGCCAGCGAGCTAACTGGCCATCCCTATATGGGATCCAAACCCGGGGCCTTGGTGATCTCAACACCGCACTCTCCCGAGTGAGCCACGGGCCGGCCCTGTGCCTGTCCTTTTTATGGGTCGACACTGAGCCAGCTTCCTTTCACTCTTGTGTGCTCTTTCCAGCCACTGAACTTGATGCTTCTTCTCTGGACCACCCTAGCAGCCTTCAGCTGTGGGTGTCCTTCCCCTCTGGTTTGGTTTCTTCTTTCTCCATCTGCTGCCAAGTAACCCTCCAGCAGCCAAGGCAGCCCCTGTTCCTGCATGTATTTATCACCTAGGGCAACACTGAAGAATAACTCCAATCCATTCCATTTCATTGGATGTTGTAAGTGCTCCTGGAACAGAGCTTGTGTGGAAAGAGACTGGAGAGTAGAGAAACCTATTTTGATACCTCTTGAAGGTAGTAGATTTCTTACAGTCTCATGCAAGCCCTAAAAGGAGTGTAGGGTGTAAAATTTTTAATCTGCTGCTGACCTCATAAACACATGTACTCTTACTGTTAGTATCTTTTTCTAGTCCAATAAAATTATTTAACAAAATGTACTTTTAGTGTAAAATTTTTAATCTGCTGCTGACCTCATAAACACATTGTACTCTTACTGTTAGTATCTTTTTCTAGTCCAATAAAATTATTTAACAAAATGTACTTTTGTGGGTAGTAAGTACAACTTCCTGTAGGTAAGATATTTGATACATAGGCTGAATAGTGATTTTAAAATACATTTCAGTTCATTGAGTTCACAGCTTCCTAACAAATTTCCCCTCATTTTTTTTGGAAAATTATCAATGACATCAAATATTTCCCAGCTCAACACTTTTCCTTAAATGTGGTACATATAAAAATGCTCCTGAGTTTTGCATGAAATTGTTCAGACAGAAAGTTATTCTAAGTGAATATGCTTTTATTTTCTGCTCCAATAAAAGGGGAAAGACACAGAGTTCTCCCCGTTTTATGTAACCAAAGGACAGTTGCCTTCTTACCTGGGTTTGGATGGAATAGCTCTGCCCTGGCTGAGATCTACACTTCTGGATTACCCTGGTAGGTAGGGAAGGAAGACACTGAAGGATAGAAGGTGTGTTCAAAGCGTTTACTTCCTTTGTCTATGTCTAACTTCTCAACATTTAGAAAACATTGAACCTTAAAAGTAAAATTTGGGTATTTCAGGGATGGAGATAAAGCATGTGTATTTTTTTTCTTCTTTGAAGTATCTGCTCTTGTGGGAATGGTTTCTTTTTTGCTCTGGAAGGCTGATGTTGAAGCTGTGTGCCACTTGCATGTGTAAGAGAAAAAGGGGCTGTGAGCACAATATTCTTTCATTCTTCCTTGGAGTCTACTGTTTTTTGAACCGATAATTGCACCCAGAGGTTATGAGGAAGTAGCCATATCAGCTAAATAGGAAATAAAATTTGTTTTAACTTACTTTGATACAAGCAGAATTTTAACCAGGTAATATCAAAATTGTGTTTCTGTGGTTCTTGATAATTTCTGTTGACTACCTTAATTTAGTTTCGTTTACTGACCCATCTTAAGCCAAGAGATCATAGCTCCTTCATCTAAATAAAAGTCCAGTTCTGGTATTTGAAGACTCCAGAAAGGACCTATGCTTGCAGCGCAAAGTGACTTGATTAAACAACAGTAAATGTTTCTTCCAAAATACATAATGCACGGGTAGTTAAGTATACAGGCTTTGGGGAATTCTGCTCTTTTAAAACCTGTGTGCAGCACTTTGCAAGGCTTTCATGCCTTGGGAAGATATCTTTATCTCTTGGCGAGGCAGTGCCTGGATTTTCCTCTATGTCGGCTATTTCATTTTCATTTAATGTGTTTTCTTTTTTTTTCCCCCCCTGGGGGAAAAGAGAGAAGGCAGGTGCCTCTTAGTTTTGATATTTCACAGCAAATGTTCTTAAGGTCTTGTTGCCATTCACATGTGGGAAGGTTGATTTGTAGCTGCTTTTTCTTCCTAACAGACTTTGTGTGGGTGGTAAAGATCTCAGAGTGAAACATTAAAAATGAATGAAGAGAACTTGAGTAGTTTGTCTAAGGTGGAGTTGAGAGGGACGGGGTGGGGGAGGTTTAACAAAAGGCATTGATGTTTTAAATGCACAGAAATGCCATCCATCAATAATACATGGTGCGGCATAGAACAGATGTGCCAAATTGAGTTATGACAGTGTATGGATCAGTTCATAGGGGGAAAGTAAGCAGCTTACCTGGTGTTTTTAAATTTAGTGTGAGAGCTTTCAAATGCAATTTTAAATATTGTTTTTTTATGCTCTGATAGCTGTTAGTTGGAAATATAAAAAGGTTGGAATTTCCAAAATTCCAATGAAATTTTGAATGTTTTTAAAGTAAGAATTAAGAATAAGTAAGTTTTGGGCCGGCCCGGTGGCGCACTGGATAGTGTGCTGCTTGGGAAGCGCGGCGGCGCTCCCGCCCGAGGGTTCGGATCCCACATACAGACCGGTTCCCGCTCACTGGCTGAGCGAGGCGCGGGAGCAACACCGAGGTTTGCAATCCCGTTGCCGGTCCCCGGTCCGGTATGGGGGCAACACTGAGGGTTGCGATCCGTTGCCGGACACGGAAATTCTGAGGAGAAAGGCAATCTGAAAATGAATTTCTTGCCCTGCACGTCTGAGAGCTTGCTTTTTAAGAACTCGTGTTGTAATTGTTATGAGGAATGAAATTGCATTACAAAACATAAATCATGTGAAACTATTACCTTGTATTTTCTACATTCACATTGATTCTATCTCTAGGTACCTGTTAAGTACATACCTAAACTTTTGGGGGGGCAGAGGGGAGCAGCTGGCTGGTATGGGGGCTGTTGCTGGGGCGCCCCCTCCTCAACTCTTTGCTGCGTCTCTCACTATCTATATTAACTTTGCGGTGGTGAGTCATGGGATATGGTTTTATAGTCCAATGAAGAATCTTTTTAGAAAGCAAAGTTCTGGTAGATATATTGTTAATTATGCCCTTTTAAGTTTCTGTATAACTTCAAAAGGAACTTTTTTCCCCCAGAGAACTGTACCATGGCTCATCCATTTTTAGAAGGAGACAAGATATAAATTATCAATAAAAATTGCCTGTATCCCAATAGCAACTCTGTTCTGTTTTAGGAAAGTAAAAGTTTTTTCTTGATGCACATTCCCTGGATTTGAGCTAGATTTTAATTCTAAATATGTGGGACTTTTTTATTTTCCCTAGAAGTGACACCATTCCTTTGTGAGGCAAGAGCACGTGGGCTGAGTGTGGAGATTCTGTCTTAAGCAATTCAGTTCCAAATGGGGGGATCTCTGGCTGCAGAAGGTTGCACCATTCTTCTTCTCTCCCAACATGCTAAACTGCATATATTCCTTCCACAGATCACTATCATCTTCAAAGCCCACCATGAGTGTACAGATCAGAAAGTCTACCAAGCTGTGACGGACGACCTGCCAGCTGCCTTTGTGGATGGCACTACCAGCGGCGGGGACGGTGATGCCAAGAGCCTACGTATTGTGGAGAGGGAGAGTGGCCGCTATGTGGAGATGCACGCCCGCTACATAGGGACCACGGTGTTTGTGCGGCAGCTGGGTCGCTACCTGACCCTTGCCATCCGTATGCCCGAGGACCTGGCCATGTCCTATGAGGAAAGCCAGGACCTGCAGCTGTGCGTGAATGGCTGCCCCCTGAGCGAACGCATCGATGATGGGCAAGGCCAAGTGTCTGCCATCCTGGGGCACAGCCTGCCTCGCACCTCCTTGGGTCAGCCCTGGCCTGGCTACACACTGGAGACTGCCAGCACCCAATGCCATGAGAAGATGCCAGTGAAGGACATCTATTTCCAGTCTTGTGTCTTTGACCTGCTCACCACTGGTGATGCCAACTTTACTGCCGCAGCCCACAGTGCCTTGGAGGACATGGAGGCGCTGCACCCGAGGAAGGAACGCTGGCACATTTTCCCAAGCAGTGGCAATGGGACTCCCCACCCAGGCAGCAGTTGGTCTGTCAATCTAGGACTCACATGCTTGTTTCTTCTTGTGTTTTTGTAGGGGTTGTCTTTTGTTTTTGTTTGTTTGTTTTGGGTTTGGTTTTGTTTTTGTCTATAACAAAATTTTAAAATATATATTGTCATAATATATTGAGTAAAAGAGTATATATGTATATACCATGTATATGACAGGATGTTTGTCCTGGGACACCCACCAGATTGTACATATTGTGTTTGGCTGTTTTCACATATGTTGGATGTAGTGTTCTTTGATTGTATCGATTTTGTTTTGCAGTTTCGTGAAATGTTTTATAATGTCCCTGCCTGGGGACCTGTTAGCACTTTATTTTTATATATTAAATATTTATGTGTGTACCTGGTTAATATGTATAGTACATATACACAGACACCATACACAGCATTTCCTTTGAAAGTGACCGGTTATTTGTAACTATTCTTGGCTGTTCCCACCTGCTCTTTCTCATTGCTACTGATTTGCCGTGGCGTGCGGTTTTCACTTGCCACCTCCTGGTGGAGCTGCCTCATTTTTTTAATTATGTCCTTGCTCCTCCTTCTCCCCTCACTGACTTTGAAAAGATAGTTGACTCCCTGCTTTCAGGTGCTTTTGGCTCTGTGGAACATTGACCTTAAACAGCCTTCTTTCTCTCTAACTGCTGTCACTTTTTCAGAAGATGGGAGGAATATTACTACAATTCTTAACTGCTCTCCATTCTCATCGTTATATTTGAGCACATACAGTGTATATGAAACTGCTGGTTTTGTAGGTCAAAACCAGTTTCAAAGGTAAATATCAGGCATCTTGATAGACGCCAGTAGCTTACAGACCTCATCCCACGTCTGTTTAAATTGTAGTTTTCCCCTCTTTTTAACTCTATTCTGCATTAAACAAAACATGAAGCCATAAACTTAGTAATCATGCCCTGCTCTTTGTTCCCCTAATTTGTACATGCCCATGTTTTTAACTTTCTCTTCCTTGACTATTTGGGCCCAGAAATACGTCGCTCCGTCTCTACTCCCAGTAAGCCCTCCCCAACCTCACCTTATGAATCCAAGGACTGGGGTTTGTTAGATTCTTTCTCTAATATAGAAGTGCAGATCCCGTCACAAAGTTTTCCATTCTTCCTTGCCCGGGACTCCATGGTCTTCCTCACAGTCTTTGACATGACTGTATGCATAATGTGACAGAGTAGGGTGTCAATGACAAAAGCTTCCTTGGTCTGACTGTGAAGCTTACTCTGGGTGATTCTTTCTCTAATATAGAAGTGCAGATCCCGTCACAAAGTTTTCCATTCTTCCTTGCCTGGGACTCCATGGTCTTCCTCACAGTCTTTGACATGTCTGTATGCATAATGGGACAGAGTAGGGTGTCAATGACAAAAGCTTCCTTGGTCTGACTGTGAAGCTTACTCTGGGTGCTGGTTAATTCAGACATATTCGTTAACTAAGTTTTGTGCTCCCCAAGTAGTCTCTTTTTTTAATCAGATACTCCCTCTCTTAACACCTGTAGTTGAATATCATTTAATTAGTTGCCCATGTAACTTGGTGAAATCCCTTTAGCGTAGAGTCCTTTCCTTGCCTTTTCCATTTCATTGTTGGCACCTCTTTGCAAACAGAAAAGAACAAAAAGCCAGGAACAGTAACTGAGAAAGTTAACTGCAGGATAGGTAAGTCTATATTGTTACATATAAATGTAAATGTTTGGTTCCAAGTAGTGATACAGTTTGTACTTTAATAATTCAAGTTTACATAAACACAAACAAAAGATAAACTAAATGCTGTAGTAACTTAGGCCAAGATTATGCTTAGTATTAATTGGCCAGGTAATTTCTTTTGCCATGTCCTATTGATCAGTGGCACTGCCTGAGGCCCAGCTGCAGAGGATGTCATTTTGTGAAGTTCCATCTTTTAGTGAACTGATACATCATCCAGTCATAGGATGGAGTGGTGAGTTCACCCAGAGGTGGCAAACCTCTCCATCTTCTGGTATATGAGAGAATAATCTTGGATATTATGGGAAAGTAATGAAGGTACCCTCCTTAAAGATTCAACTCCAGAAAGTAGGAACCTAAACTTGTCATCCTTTTAAAGAAGCTGGACTAGGTACCTACCTACCCTCAGCTCTGAACTGCAGCTGCTTATGTTCACCTATGAAGCCATGTACCAAGTTCAGAAGCTATCGTTCGCTAGTGATTTTGTTTCGTAATTGAGTAGAATGAGGAAGGAAAAATACTGAGGATACTGTTAACCACTATCTTTGTGCAAATAGTAGAATAATGAAGTAAAAGCAATAGAAATTTCTACAATATCTGGGCTTAGAGCGCATATGATTAATATACCTTTGTCCTTTTCAGGAAAAATGAAACAACCGCCTCTACTAATAGGAAAGAAAATTGGGTTTTGCCATGTCATTTAGCTGGAAAGGATGCTAAAATCATCCTGCGTTGCTAGTATTAGAACCAGTGTATTTAGCTATTCTCCCTTTATTATCGGTGTCCCTGTCCCTACAGATAACTTTCAGAAATACAAATACTTCTCTAGATAAGGGCCAGGTTTATTTTCTCCTGTTTTTCTTGGATTTCTAGAGAAAATGCTGCTTGCACATGTTAGTTCCTGAAATCCTTTTATCCAAAAGAGTATTGGGTTATACCAACATGTGGATAGGCTATATCTGTTCAGAGGTCTCCTGGGAGAGGTTAAAACTTAGGGGAAAACACTGGTTTTCACAGATGCTCCACATGGCTGTCTTTAAGACTCAATTTTTTTTTTTTGGTCCTCTTTGTTATGCTTGGAAACCCCCCCTGTGTGTCGAGTCTTTGCAAAGAAACCTTTAGATGTGGTTCATAGGTATATGAATACATATCTGTGTAAAACAGTGAGTGTGCAGTGTGTAAATACTTTAAATTATTATGCTAGAAAAATAAAGTTACGTACCATGCTGTGGAATGTTTGTTCTGTGATTATAGTGACACCTGCTGGCAGAACTGAGAAACAGCTGCAGAAGAAGGTGGGGGAGAGGTTGGGTTTTATTCTTTTCCAAACCACCTGCCCACAAGCACTTATTTTCTAAACTAGTACTGCAGTTTTTCCTTTTTAAATTTTAAGGAGTTACAGGAAAACCAGTATCTGTGAGACTGATCCACTGTTACTGTCCCAAAGGTCTGTCTTCAGTTATCGTTTTGGTCCCTCAAAGACAAGCAACCTGTACTCTGGTTCTTTTTAAGGCAGCGTGGGCTACAACAGCTTACTCTCGGTGGGTAGGATATTGGGGGCAAGATTTTCTGGCTTTGAAAACATTTGCAAATCCTTACTTCTTGAGTGTTCTAAAAAGAGGCATCACAAGATCACAAGTTGGTCTTTGTTCAAGAAACATGCCAAAGGGCAGGAAAGTTTGGAAAAGAATAAAACCCAAACTAAAGGCACAGGAAAGCACTGTTGCTTTTACTAGGTAGAATACTAAATGGACCAAGTACCAAACTCTGACTGGGGGAAAACATACACGTCATCATTTCTTAAATAGAAAGCTTAACAATTGCACTTAGTGTTTACCTGTAGCAGTTCAGAGCAAATAAGGAAAATCATGTCAGCTGAACCACACGAAATAGGATGACAGTGATATAATCACTGAGTACCTAGTGCATATATCTGCATTGAATGAACACAAATAATCTAGCACAGTGAAGTCTACTTAAGTCAAAAATAATTCTTCAACCTACTCTTAATACCCAGACCTCCAGCTTTTCAGGGACTAAAAGTTGAACAACTCCAAAAACTGAAAGGAGAGATCTTCATTTTCTTAAACAGCAAATCCTGTTATCTGATCTATTTATTACTTGTAGCCATGGCAGGCATCGGCAGCATTCTATTGTCTGCAATCAGCCAGATAACACAATCTTAGATTGCTACTGTTCTGACTGAGCAAAGACACCTTGCTGCAGATTTTCCCCATTCCTATAAATAAATATCTATTTGTATGTGAACCAAGGAACATCTCCCTCAACCACAGAGAATGTCGTCAAGACACTCAAGAGGAAGCAGTTTGCAGTTCTTTATTATTTTATTGCCCAACTCACCGTATTGTTCCTGCTTCCATCCCTTTTCTGTAAAGTCTTCCAAATGGACAAGTCATATTCACACCAGTTTTACCATTTATATGGTATTCTCCTTTGAATTTACTGCTCCTCCCCCCACCGACTCTGCCCCAAGTACCTCTAGTAAGCAACATGTTTGCCACTGACAACTGAGTAATAGAAAAATATACTGTTCTTTGTACCCAAAATGTGGTGTCATGTTTCCCTGCCATTACGGTTTGTGCTTGGGAGTGGTGATGTCTTTGTGTGTCATTTCCCTTGTGAGCAGCATGCAAATTTACAAGGAGACTGGGGTATCCAGGGACCAGGGCAATACACTAACATTCCAGGATGTACACCCTCAGCCTCGTTAGAATAATGTTTAGACCAATTGAGCAAAGTAGCCCTGTCAACCAGGATATACTGTAGTAGGGCAATCAAACTCCAGCTGGAAGAAAGCAACAGGGCAATGTTTTCTAGTTGAGAGTTATTCATGGGAGATTTTCTATAACCCATTTTTTTTTCAATAATTAAAACTCCAACTCTGGAAGAAAAAAATAAATAAGCATTCTGCTATCAGGTCGAATATACAATATCAAGCCACAGATGAATTAACAAAGTAGGAATTGTACCTGCCATAAATGACATTAAAAAAAAAGAGGATTTTCTCAATCAATAATGTAACACTGCCAAGGGACATGGTGCAATTTGACAACACAAAGAACTTCCAAAGCTGCCTAACAAGAAGCAGTAACATAGGATTCACTGAAGGGGGAGGAAGAGTGAGATGATAAATTTATTTTCTAGTGAGACCTTATGAGCTGCTAAGTAGCAATGTCATTAATGCACTATTGGTCATCAGCACAGTGAGGACAGCAGGTAGAGCTATTGATTGTCTCACTGTAAGTACAAGGGAAGGATTCTGGGCCTGAGTCACCTCATGAATGTTCATCGTCCATGGGAAGGAAAAGAGAACAGTAAACTAACTTGGGACAGCACAAAATATAAGATCCTCAGCATCGTATCAAATTGGAAATTTGGGTGACATTTGGAACCTGGGAAAGAGGTGAAAGTTTTTCTGCGGAGCTGGGAGGGAGAATAGAGGCAAGACAGGAAGAGCTCACAGATCAAAACAACAAGTAAGGAATTATTAAGGGTTCATTTCTGTGTAGATATTTATTTTATATATTCTACCCTGTGGGAGGCAGTATACCATAGTGGTCAAGATATGGATTGTGCAATAGCAAGCACAGTTCTGTGTTTAAATCCACCTGCTTTACTAGTGCAACCCAGACATGCCAAGCTATACCTGGGCTTTAGTTTCCTCATCTTTACAATGAAAATGCTAATGGAATGTCACACCTCAAACATTCATTATGAACTCTATATTAGATTATAGTGTTATATAAAGTCAAAATTTTTATGAGTTATAAAATAGAATATCCCTGTTCTTAGGAAGTACACACTGAAACATTTGGGGATAAAAAATCATGATGTCTGCAAATTATTCCCTAATAGTTCGGCAAAAATAGTAACATCTGTGTGTATGTATGTATATATAACTAGATAGATAGCCCTAATGGGGCAGAAATTTAATAATTAATTTAGGTGAAACATACACAAAAGTTTATTGTATTATTTTTGCAAGTTTTCTGCAAATTAGAAACATTTTCCAAAAAACAGTTAAAAATAAAACTAAGAATAATCCTCAGCCCTGATGCCAGCCATCGTGGTCCAGGCCTGGCAACTTCTCTGCTGCTCCCCCTTCTCCCCACTCCAATCACACCTGCCTCCCAGCTGTGCTTTGCTCAGGCAGGTGTGGCTCTGCCTCAGGACTT